TCTCTCTCTCTCTCTCTCTCTCTCTCTCTCTCTCTCTCTCTCTCTCTCTCGTTCTTATTTCTTATTATTTTATTTTTTCTAAAACTTTAACCGAATTTTGTGTACTTTCTTCAAGGATTTACATATATTCCATAAATTATAACGTAATGCAATATTTATTATTGTTCAACAAGTATCACGTATTATTTAATTACAAGATGCGAAAAGATATACTAAGCTTATTGTTACTTAATCTTTAGATTGCCGGCATTTTTTCGTTAAAATAGTTTTTTTTCTCGAAAATTTTTCTATAGAAATAACGTACACATGATGCAGAATATCGAGATTTATGCAGAGTCACAAAAGGCTTTCTCGGCAGGGAACGTACGACCAACAAAAAAAATTTTTATTTTCTCAAAAAGTATATTTGGGGGTTTTTTGTATCGCTGATTCCAATTTTGAGCATAGATTTATGAAATCTCTAAACGTAATATTGACAACATAAACGTATAGACTTTAGCATTACCCAGAGCTAACGACATAAACATAGAAAGTTTGTACCTCCTTTTGAACTTTTCTTTTTTGTTTGGTTTTTAATTTATTTTTTACTTATATATATATTTTTAATTATATGTATATCTTTCAATATTTCTATTTTTTTTTATATTTTGGGCAACATACACACATACATGTTTGCAATTAGTAAAATACCACTAAAAGTGATGGTATTTTAATCCACATTCCAGAATTACAAAGTGGCTTTCCCGGCAGTCTAAAAATTAAAAGCAATTTTCATATTAGATATAGATTTTGAAATATAATTGTGATGTTTTATCGGTCAACATAACGATACAAATAATCCCAAGCGTAAAGAACTGAGTTATTAGTTTGCCGAACTTTCGCAACAGTCGTTCGTTACGTGTCATATCAGAAAAAAGATCATTTCTTTTTGTTCAAGACGAGAAGTAACTTACGAGACCAATCATGAGTTTTTGATATTTGTTTTCTTCCGAGCAACTTCTAAGTGCATTCTATGTCGAAAGTTAATAGAAATACCTTAAGTTCATGATTGCATCCTTTCCGCCTTCGTCAGATTTTTTTTTAACTTTTAATTTATTTCATCCGTCAATTCAGATGAGTTTCGCTCTTCTAAAATAAAACTGCATGAGAAAATGTCAAGAGTGCATGTCATTCTTTGTTATAAGTTATATACTCAACACACATTTGCTTTACTTCAAAATGTTTTTGTTGGGCACTTTCTCAAAGAGGGTAATTTCTTGACATTGAAGAGAATAGAAACAAAGAATATCTTTATAATTGAGCACTTTTTCTTCTTTGTTGCATAATATATTTATTATTTATACATTATCTAAGATTTGCATTGACAATGACACTGTTAAATTTGACACTATACAGTGTCAATTTGGCACTGTATATATGACTCTAACTAAACTTTATTGTAAGCGCAGTGATTACTGAGAAAAATGATTTATGTTAGAAAATGAAGAAGTATGCATAATTTTTGCACGATAAAGTAAATATTTTGATGTAATAAAAATTGTAGAGTCTATTCTAACGATTGCAATGCGATGTATTCGATGAACAATTTTATATTATTTAAAACTTGTGATTTCTTATATGAATTCATGTATCTAGATTAAATCGATTAATTTCAAAGATGATATAAATTCATAATTTTCAAGAATCTAAATATTATAATAAAACGTTATAGAAAAACATTAACTTAAATATTCTGAATTGAATGTTTTTTCTATAACACTCGTATTTTATGAAAATACAGCAAATTAATATATGTCTGCAATATAACATTATCTAAAAGTATTATTTTAAACGTGTCAGTATAAAATTATTATTTGATCGTTATTAGGTGGACATCACCGAACTCTGCCCATCAGCCACTGTACTAGCACAACAATTGACTCATGTAGAACTCGAAAGACTCTCTTATATTGGGCCCGAGGAATTTGTGCAGGCTTTCGCCAAAGTAAGTTTATTTCAAAACAGAATTACAATTTTCTTACACCTGATAAGTTATGTTATAAATATTTTTACAGCAATTTAATATTTGTATCACAATTATACATTAAATACTATTATTTTTATTATTTTGTCAGGAGTCACCGCATTTAGAAACATCTTTCAAAGATATGAAGAAAACCCGGAATCTCGAATCGTACGTTCAATGGTTTAATAGACTGAGCTACTTCGTAGCGACGGAAGTTTGTAAGGTAAATATGATAGCTTTGTATCAATATTCTTTGTACATTTTGTGCATAATTTTTATTACTTATTATTTAATCTAATTCTTATTATTTAATCAAAATTTGTTAATAAATGATACAAAAATATATTTCTCAAATTTGTCAAAAGGATGACAAAAAGTACTAGACATTTTATAATAACAAGTTTCTCCCTTTTTTAGCACGCAAAGAAGAAGCAACGCGTTCGTGTCGTCGAATACTGGATTGAGACTGCTCGTGAATGTTTTAACATTGGCAATTTCAATTCTTTGATGGCGATCATCGCTGGCCTCAATATGTCCCCGATATCTCGCTTGAAAAAAACAGTAAGAGGGAATACATACATTTCTTTTCAATTTTGATGATAATATTCATGCTTATTTTGAATATTGGAAGAAAAAATAATAACACACATTTATAGAATATCTTATATTTTTATTAAATCTCTCGCATAATAGGAAATTGTAAAGACAATTCTAAATTTATATACAGTTATCTTCAACATTATAAATATTTTCTATAACCAACATATGTGTATATTAAATCGACGTAATTGCTTCACAAATTTAAAATTTTGGAGTAACGAGTTCCATTGCGTCCGGCAAATTGAAATCGGTATCGATACATTTTATTCGCTCGGGACAATGCATACATATACAATACATGTATGTATCTCTCAATTTTTCGATCACCTCAGCAAGAGCGTATTTGAAAAGTGCGAATATTCGCAAATGGTTAGCGTCGACGCATTTTTTGTGTTAGAATGTAGTGTCGGGAAAGGAAGGGAAATAATGGTGAAATGACACAACCGGTATATCCATTCGTTTACACCTCTTCGCGGGATTGTACGTGAGAGCAATAAACGCCCTGTAATCCTCGTAAATCGAGAGTAGTGCGCTATGATGTTTAACATTGAGTATAATACCGAGTATAACACCGAGTAAAACACCGAGAGTTAAATTTTCGCACCGTTTCTATGCGAAGAAAAAAGCTATTAGGAGCGAAGGAAAAAGTTATTTTGATTATACTTTTGCATGTATAATCGATTTAATCCAAGATAAACCATTAAATAAACTCTTGTCTCATATAATAGTATTAGTTTTAGTTTTCAAATGATAATTTAACTTAATTTTTATACTTCACAGAAATTAGTTCTATGAAGTTGTTTCTAGTGTACCACCGATAAAATAGATGTTAGACAATCGCCCGCGTCGACGAAAAGAAAGCGAAAACAGAGCAATCGAATTAGCTTGATTTTTCTACCGCGATTGGCCGTGACACCGCAGAAAAGACCCGAAATGTAGCTCGCGATTTGAGTTAATTAAAAAGTTTCAAGTCAAACGGCGTTGCTCGGCAACGTTGTTCTCGTGCTATTGCCGTTCCTTTCGTCTCGTTGGGAATTAGCTAATTGCCCGACCAGCGTTCCACGTCCACGGGAGAGGACTCGCACTATTACGTATTCTCGATTTCCACGCGGATGCACTCCATCCATTTATTCCTTTAATCCAGTCGTCGTTCCCAGTGGAACGCTCTCTCGGACAACGCTTCCGAAAGCTTCCATATCTTTAATATTTATCTCGACAATAATGATGGAGCAAGATGCATTATTTCACGAGAAGAAATTGATCTTTAATAACTGTTCATAATTACATAATAAGAAAGTTATTATAGAAACTTATTAAAAAATGTCTAATATTCACGTAAATTGAATAGATTATATCAGATTGAAATTTTTTAGTATTAAAATCTTAAAATATTATATATTAAAATTATTACTCAAACAACAACGGAACTAAACGGCAAATCGGAGTCGCGCATAGGTATTGGAGTGCAAGTAACAATATCATTCAATTTGAATGCAGATTCAATAAGATAGAAAATATTGTAATAATTTTAAATAATAATGATAGTAACAGTATATTTAATATTTACAGATAACATCTTTGCATGATATTCATTGAAATATAATTTGTCATGATTTTAAAACAGTTTATGTTAATAAGAGTGAACTAAAATAAACATCGGATTTCTATTGTGTTTTGTATATGCAAATTAAAATAATCAGCTATATCAGAAACTTTAAATAAATATAATTACAAAAATTTATTATATCACCTAGCCAATGAGAAGCTAAATAGAAATTAATTAAAGCATAGAATGAGTGACTTTGAACCTTGCAATAACAATTTGCAAACGAAGAGAAACTCGGATTGGAAGAACAATCGCAAACTGATGTTGTTTCTTGCATTATTATTCGTACTACTGTCATCGCAATTTCGCGCTTTTCTTCTAACGCCATCGACATGTTATTAAATTCGAATCTATTTATATCATAGAAAGTAATTTTATAACTAACTAAATAAAGATAAAACGAAAAAGGAACGATATTACTCGTTTCGATATTACTCGATGTGAAACAAAATGACGCCGGCGAAAAAAAAAACAAATGTGTCTATCACGAGTGGAAAAATAGAAGAACAGACACAACGTGAATTTTACATCTCTTCTTATATGATGAATAAAAAATAATCGAAACACGTATCATTCGTAAAACCTCTCGTTCGGAAATGCTCCTTTGTCATTTTATCATACAACTACCCTATTCTAATTTATTTTCTTAATTTTATCTCAAATTTATCTGTACAGCTTTTCACATTTAAACAGGGGGACATAATATTGAGAATAATCGCATTAGCGAATAATTTTTTCACTACGAATGGACTACTATAATAGATCTTGCATTTTTTCTCAAAGTTAGAGCATTTTTTAAGAGTCAAAGTTATTATTGAAATTTTAATAGATATTGGCAATGAAAACGTTTTATAGATTAAAAGATAAATATACTTATAAATATACCCACAAAAGAAACGGGTCACTGTAATGTTACAGTTATCCGTTTTTTTTTGCAAGTAAGTGTATTTTTATGATGTATGAAAAACAAAATGTTTTTCTTGCAAAATTTTAAATTAAAATTTACCGAAAAAATTAAATTGAAAATAAAATACGATAAGCGCCACTTGACGGTCAAAGTTAGACGTTGAACTAATATTTATACGTATTTTTATTTTAATAAATTTATTTCAGAAATATGATTGTGCGCCGTTACTGTCGATCTTTCAACGCAATCCATTTCAAATATTAATCTCCTCAAATTTAATCTTGAAAAACTGTAATAAACTTATTACGAAAAATATTGTTAGCATTCCGTACTAGAGATCCAAGTTCGACTCCCGGCCGAATATAATATTTTTCGCAATAAGTTTATTACAGTTTTTCAAGATTAAATTTGGGGGGGGGGGTTATTAATATTTCAAATGGATTGCGTTGAAAGTCTGACAGTAACGACGCGCAATCATATTTTCGAAATAAATTCATTTAAATAAGAATACGTATAAGTACAATATTAATTTCACATCTAACTTTGACCGTGTGGCGCTTCTCGTATTTAGGTGATGTACTCACATAAAACGGTTTTAATTCCAATCTTTTATTATTGAAAATAAAATATTTATTCAATTCTGAATATTTTAATTATTGTAAAAATTGCAAAAAATCAATGATCTGAAAATTTGTAACTCAATATTTAAATATAAATGATGCATATTTTTATAGTAAAATACTTATATAATAACATTCCAAGTACTTTTACTATATATTTCTTATACTATATATTTTTTTATTTTAAATAAAAATAGAAGTTGATAAATTGTTGCACGCTTTATAGCAAGAAACAAAATAATCCTCTTATCTTCTTTTTAATAACACAATCGTGCCACGAATCGAATCAAGAAATATCGAACTATGGAAAACTAATATTTTCTCGTTTTCAATTACAAGTTTAACCAACCGTTTTTCCTTTTCTTCTTATTTTCTCCCCTACTTCCTTTCTTTTTTTCTCTCCCCCTCCTCTCTCTCTCTCTCTCTCTCTCTCTCTCTCTCTCTCTCTCTCTGTTTGATATAAGCTCCTTGTGCTATTTACAACATTTATTTGATTCGATCAATTGATTTATATAGAAGGTGGGTGAAATAATTGTTAAAATTTTCAACAAACAATAGTGCTGTCAGTAATGCATGGGATTTGTTCGATAATTTTTGTTAATGAAAATTTAACGCTCTCTACTTTTGTGCGAACATATGATTGGAACTCCATTTATGTGCAAAAGCAACTATGAAATGTTTCGCAGTAATTGGATCGTCAGCAATTAATTAATTTTTTTATATATGCAAGATAATCGAGAATAAGTAACCGAGGGAGTAACCACTTTTGAATTTCGGTGTACAATCTGTCAAAAGTCCGATGAAGTCTGGTGAAGTCCGATGAAGTCCGGTGAAGTCCGATGAAGTCTGAGAAAGTCCGGTGGGGTCCAACGAAGTCCGATGAATTCCGGTGAAGTCAGATGAATTCCGGTGAAATCCGATGAAGTTCGGTGAAATCTTAAATTCCGAAGTCCAGGTGTACACCTATTTTTTGAGTGGTTATCCCCTGGAGAATAACGCAATTATACATCTTAAATTTTCAATTTTTCTACATAACACAAATTTTTATCTTTATTGAAAATTATGTTAATTTAAAAAACTTTTCGCTTCTCGCATGCATGCATGCACAAAAAATAAATAATATTTGTCCATGATTTGTTTCCATTCGTTTTATGCTGAATGTAACTTATGTTTGTAATTTTATTTATTCAATGATGAAATTTTTACATTTTACAAATATTTTTTATACTTAAAATCAAATTTAAAACCAAGTTTCTTAAGTTACAAAAATTTTTAATAATATAGTTTAAAAATGATAAATTTACAAATAGATAAAAATGGTATAGACGAGAAGATGCTTGAAAGATAACAGCAACTCGGAGAATCTCATAAAATGTAAAAATTCATACATATAATAAATCTTCATATCAAAACTTGTTCTAAAAATAAACATTAAAATATTTTTAATTTTATGTATGCGTATTATATTATAAATAAAATACATCTTATTGCATAACTTATAAAACTGAAAATATATCAGATATTACACATTTCAAAATATCAATATATTTTTAAAAAACAAATACTATCAGTTTTAATATTTATGATATTCCTGTTATTTTTATAAATTAATTTTCTTAGATTAGAAGATTCCGAGACTATTATTTGTATAAAATTATGCTTGTTAACACAATTATATCCTTCTTTAATGATTTGTTAATCAATTAGATTTTGCTAACTTCAGATTTTTTATTAGATTTTGAAAATAGCTTTTGCCGAAGAAGATTCCTTATTACTTGCATCCCCTGCGTCCTATTATTCCTATTATTTTGCTGATCTTTTTCTGCAGAAAAAGTAGATTCTGTTCTTTTCATACGATAGTATTCCGACGTCCTTTCCAGCGCAACCAGTTTCAATTTACCGGATCTGGCAGAAGTCCCTGATTGCTACTGTTTTTGCTCTAGACGAGCATTTCCGGTAGAGTCAAGTCGGGCTAAGAAAAATGGCTCTCACGTCAGGCAGGCGGAAGTCTTTGGAGATCAAGTATCTATGAGACAGGATCAGAAGTCAAATCTTGGCGGACAAAATAAGATTTTGAAATAGAAATTTATTTAAAGGGATAGATGATCCATTAATTATAAACATGTGTTTAAAAAGAAGGAATGTAATTAAAGACAGATTTTTACATTAAAAAAATTTTGAACTTTTACTTAAAAAATATATATGCATAGCTTAGGTATGTTTTTTATTGTAATATTTATTGTAATATTTTGAAAATAAAAGGAAAGAAATAAAAAGTAAAGAAATTAAAAATATATTTATCAATATCAAAAGATTTTTAAAAAATAAGAAGACTAGGAAAGAATAAAAACATTTCAATCATAACCTTAAATATAAAAATCTCTTGAATCAAGATACAAGCATTATCCATTGACTATCTATATTCGTAGTAGTATTCTTAAACGAATAAAACTTCACACCAGAGGATCAATCATGTAACATTTTTCTTAGAGCGGAAATGTGATAAGTGAAAATTTTATTGTATGTATATGTTGGTACATACATACATATACACATACATAATTTTTACTTTTCACGTTTTCGCGTTAAAGAAAAAAAATTATATAATTGGCTCACAGATCAGATTAAAAAGCGGGATTAAATCGATAAAAATTAAATAAATTTGAAGCTTGAGACAACGGCTCAGATATACATGTTATGCTGCACAAACTAACGTAGCATAAAGGGATATAAGAAAGTGATTGCATGCAATTGCTCTAACTTTTTCTATTTTTTCTAATTTCTGCGGTATTAACCTTCGCGCTGCGTAAATATTGGAGTTATCATACATTTTTATAATTTTCAGTGGTCAAAGATACAATCTGCCAAGTTTTCAATTTTGGAGCATCAGATGGACCCAAGCAGCAATTTCAGTAGTTATCGTAGTACATTGAAGGCCGCAATGTGGCGTAGTGCTGGCGCTACAGATGAACGTCAGCGAATCGTAGTGCCCTTTTTCAGCCTTCTCGTTAAGGACTTGTACTTCCTCAACGAGGGTTGTAGTAATAAGTAAGTAATATTAAATATATTGCAAGCTATTCATATAATTTTACAGAACACATAATTTAAATTATAATTTTACAGCAGTATACATAATTTAAATTATAATTTTACAGCATACATAATTTAAATTATGTACACAATATACATATTTTATAAAATTAATTATAATTATAATTATAAACCCTCATATCCCTATATCACAGACATATAAGAAGTAATTATACACACATGCTGCACTTTTATGCTATTTAATGTGTATGTGCGTGCGTGCGTGCGTGCGTGCGTGCGTGCGTGCGTGCGTGTGTGTGTATGCGTGCGTGTGCGTGTGTGCGTGCGTGCGTCCATGCGTGCATGCGTGTAGAACACATATATGTATGAACATAATATAAAATACGTACTTGAATGCTCTTATCGTATAATAGTTTATATAATTTTTTAATTTTTAGATATCAATAAAATTGGCATTTTCAGTAGTGTATGGAAATCATCATGTCTCTCACAATATTATAAAAATATCTTGTATTATGTAAAAAAATTAGTAATCTTGAATTTTTCATGAAAAATATAGTTTCAATTTTTTTAGATCACAGGTTGTAATTTATATGAAACAGATAAAGACTACTATCGATATAACGCATCAAATGCAATACGTATCTAAACAACTTTTTTTAGCTAATTAATTTTTGCAACCATGACTGTATTTGTGATTTAATTTCGGCTATTGCAACATTAACTGCATTGTAATAATTTTGATCTGAAGTCAATTCTAACAATCAACGAAGCTATAAGCGATTATTTTGACTTCTGGAATTAGCGATATATGCGATAAAAGTGTGAGCAAAACATTTTTTTTTATTTAATCACCTATCATCCGAGATAATAATTTAAAATAGTTTTAATATTTATTGTAACGATACTGTGTATGAAGATGACCTAATAGAAGGTTGAAACATATGTTTATATATGTTTTATATATTTTATATTTTTATTAAAAAACATTAGTTTTTAAAGATTGTTTTTCCACATCAAGCTCCTATGTAGTCTTTTATGCTCCTTATAAATAATAATTTGATTTATTCATAAAGCCATTTTAATTTATATTAATTTTTGATGATCAAGTTTAATTATACGTTTCAGACTGCCAAACGGTCACATCAACTTTGAGAAATTCTGGCAATTAGCGAAACAAGTGACCGAATTTATAGCGTGGAAACAAGTTGCCTGTCCATTCGAGAAGAATCCGCGCGTCATTGCCTTCCTCCAAGCGAGCCCCGTACTCACAGAAAATAGTAAGAGATATCCATTCTCTGTTCCGTTGTGGAAATACGAAGATATGGAATTGTTTCATTTTTAATTTTTTTTTCTACAGCACTTGCGTTAGCATCTTTTGAATGTGAGCCGCCTGATAATAATCCGGAAAAAGAACGTTATAAAGCTTTAAAGTGAGTACAAATATATATAATATATTTTGTATCATTATTATTCAGGCACAACATTTTTTTGGATATAACTGTTATTATAATTGCTTTCATAATTGTTTTATAATTGTTTGTGTATTAAAAAATATATATGTATACATATTATACAGAGTGTCCCATTTTAAATAATGCATTAAGATTTCTCGAAAACTATGGTAGATACGGAAAAATGTTTCAAATAAAAGTTGTATGGTTCGAAGAGGGACATAAGGTCAGATCAAGGTCACGTTGATTTTTTAAAATGAAACCCCCTATTTTCATTACATTTTCTTATAGCTTACCTCGAGAGCTTTTCAAAACACTATAATATACAATAATATTTTTTCATTAAGTATTTTTCGAGTTATAAGGCTCGAAAGTTACAGTACAGCCGGCATTAGCATTACGCAAGTTGTCCGACCGACGGCTAAAACCTTATGAATGTTGTTCCGGATCATGTCCTGTATAACATTTGTCAAAATCAAGGCCATTGGAGATTGTACCTCTTATTTTCATTTTTACATATAAATGAATTTTTATACGTGCAAAAATGAAAATAAGAGAAATAATCTCCAATGGCCTTGATTTTGACAAATGTTATACAGGACATGATCCGGAACAACATTCATAAGGTTTTAGCCGTCGGTCGGACAACTTGTGTAATGCTAATGCAGACTGTAACTTTCGAGCTTTATAACTCGAAAAATACTTAACGTCACCCAAGATCAAATGGTACCTTCTTATGTCCCCTTTAGAATTATACAACTTTTATTCAAAACATTTGTCCGTGTCTACTATAGTTTTCGAGAAATCTTAATGCATTATTTAAAATGGGACATCCTGTATACAGGTAATATATAAATTCACATCGAACTATTTAAGCATCTAAGATCCAGTTTAACCGTTAAGGGCATTTATTTCCTATTAGTTATGAATTTTTAAAAATTCATTCTTGCAGAAAAAATAATGTAAAACTTTTGTATTTTGTAATTAAAACTCGTATTATGTAAGCAAGAAATAAGTATTCTTTACAATTGTGTTATAGGTCTGAGATGAATGCCCAGTGAAAGCAAGCTATGCCGAAATATACTGAATGGGAACGATATTGATATGAATATATATGAAGATACATTTATAAATATTAATATATTCGTAATCGTAATTAGTTTATATGCAGAGATAATAAGAAGAAAAATAAAAAATAGATGATAAAGCAACAGTGGATTGAAGTATTACTAGGGCAACTTACATGAAATTAAGTATTTCTGTCTTGCGAATTTATCGTAACAAGAAACTCTCAATAACACATTAAATCTCAATTTGGCATTTTCATTAGTATCATCTAATCGATCAGAACAACTGTACTAATTTTTCTGTTGCATTTTTTAAATTATATCATATTTGAAAAAGAGAAAAGAAGGGGGGAAAAAGGGAAAGAAAAGTTGATTTAAAAATATTACATTCTAATTCTGATTTTTTAATGGTCAAGCTACTTCGACCGTTTGCAAATATCGAATTATTATGACATCAAGAAACATTATTTATGCAATACAGAGGTAATGAATTGCATTTAAAATTTAATCAACAAGATTGTGTTAATCAATTGATTGCATCTAAATAATTTTAAAATGCTAATTGTCAATAATTGAGATTGTATAGATCGATCGATTTTAATGAATATTCGTAGATCTAATAAGATACTGAATTTGAAGTTTCAATCATCTTGTTGACTAAAAGTTTTTATAATTAACATGGCGCGAATATAAAGTTGAGGACACCTCGAAAATGATTATGAAATTCGCTTGACAATGTCACATAGCCGTAAGTATAGTTCCTAAGTCTTTGGCTCGTCGGAATCGTTTTTCTCGAGCGGAAACCAAACCGCGATTCTTTATTTTTTCGGATAATTCCGGATATAAACCGGAAATTCTTGGGTTCGCTCGAAAGAGACGCGATCGGCGCGTTGAACTTTTGTATATAATCCTTTTGATATACGCTAACAGACTCCTAGATATAAGAGGTAGGGTCGTTCCTGTAGAGTAAGCCTGTAAGTAAGCGATAAATTCGAAAGGTATATCGTAAGGATTGTCGTACACGTACTTAAGAGGATGAGAAACTAATTACGAGGATGGTCAATCGAAGCTAGAAATATAAAAAAGTCAAAAATTTCGGCAATACCACACGACTCTATCGTGAACTCGAGTTGTGTTCGATGTATTAATTCCATAAATAATAATCACGTTTTTTGTTTCTCCTGTGACGCACGCGAGTATAATCTGTAAATGAAAAATTGCGCGAATATAGAACTATATGCGATATAATGACTGAAGTATATTCGATTGCAATAATCTCGTATGCATTTTAAAATTTGTCTGCAAATAAAATTGGAGAAATATGCTAAAACACTTAACGTATTGTGGCCATAAATTATTCTTGTGAATTATAACATAATATATTGCAGATTTTTACAAAAATTTATATTTATTTTCCTTCAACATATTTATTACGATAATTTAATTTACAAATGACTAATTATAAGATGTTATAAATTTAGCAATGAAATATATTCATGGATGTGAATCTAAGCACATCTGAATGCCACAAAAATGAAATTATTCAAGTCAAAAATTAACAAAAATTGGCTTTTCACAGGATGAATTGGATTCGGCATTAATTAGCGTGATCAATAAATGTAAATGTATAAAATGCCGTGCCTTCAATCAAATATAGCAGAAGTTAATTGGATGCAAAATTTACAAATTATGAAATATTATGAGATAAAATTATGAAATATTGAATGTCAAAGATGTGTTCATAACCCGTGCGTCGCTGTTTGTCGCGAACTCATATAATTCTTCTATTAATTCGTACTATTCATAATTATATAAATTCATAATTTATTAATTTTTATACTAATCGGAATTGTTGCGATTTTGCTATAATATATTATAGTTTTGCTTAATATGCTAGATAAAATTTCTACTTTTTTTTTATTCAGGCAAATATTTGCTCAGATAAATTTGGAAAAAGAAGATACGTGTTTTCAAACAGTTATAGGGACCAAGAGTTTGTTTCTCCTGGATACGTAAATTTGTCTGTGGCATGATGAAATGTCAAGAAATTTCTATGGCACGATTAAAAAAGAAAACAACACGAACATGTTTTGAAATTCACTCACTGCGTCACAATTTCACAGCCTGAGAGAAAAATTGTATGCAAATCGAAACCACGATCTCATTTAACTGAAAGAGATATACACGTATTGATTAAAGAAATAATAACGTTGTATGATGATATTTAATAATTTTTCGAAACAATATGTTACAAGACATTTTCGATCTCTTTCATTCCTTATTTATTTCGTTTATTTCTATTTGGTCTTTAAAAAATTCATATCCGCTCTCATTTTTTTCTCATGATCAATAAAATAATCGATATTGATATGCTCAGTTAAAAATATCAATCGTAGTTTTTTCTTATTGACGAGAATACTTTCTATTGCATTTTCATACACATTATCGTAGAGATAATTTTAATCTTTTTTTCTTTTACATTTCTCTCTTTCTCCCGTCCTCCCCCTTCCCTCTCTCTCTCTCTCTCTCTCTCTCTCTCTCTCTCTCTCTCTCTCTCTCTCTCTCTCTCTCTCAAGTAACGTATATTTTTATGAAAGTCGTATTTTAATTACATTTTTCTCTCGGCATATGAAGTAAAAAATAACAAGTAGATACGAAAAGCATTTTTATTAGTACGAAGTGTACAAACAGATCGTATAACAAAGAAAGTATCATTTATTGATCGAAACGACAAATTATTATGTGAGCTCTGCGCAAATCAGATCATCGTAAAGAATACTCATCTCGATATATTATTAAGATATTATTAACTCATGTTAACGAGTTATTTATGAAGAGCGATTATCCATTTTATCTGTATACTTTCTTTAATTAATGTTTTTATTGTATATCTTTTATAGATATACATATGTAATTATTATAAATACTTGACTTATGGAGTCATTTTTATTAGTGAATGCCCTTGCCATACACGAACTTCAATGTACGTTTTTTTATCAAGAAATGTTTTTAAAACTTCCTATAAATAATGTATATTAATATATATTATAAAATATAATATACATATATATAAATAATAGATTTAGATAAAAAGAAATACATGAGCATGCGCCGAAACTTGTTGTTATTAACAACATATTTTTTAACATTTTTACAAATTTACAAGCGTGACCAATATAATCCGTCACTGTTTACTTGCCATTTTATAAATATTTTGCTCTCTTTTCGGCTAATATTATTCAATTATTAATAATTCACAAATTCTAACGAGATCTGATTGCACCGCAAGCTCGTGACACTTTTTTCGATAAGTATAAAAACTCGATGATTACACATATACATTATCGTAAATCAATTATTAACGGTAAGATTATATATTGTACCATCTTAAGCGGCATGCGTGTTACATTGTCAATATTCATAGCGTTATATCACGATCGTATATGATCATCATTTGTCTTCTTAAAAAAAAATTCCTATCTCTTTTAATCTCAGTTAGTACAAACATATTCGAAATTACCTCCGTTCATTTTTTGTTCTTCGGATAGCGTTATATTCTTGATGAATTTTCTATAATATTATTTTGTACGATTTTTATAATAAATTTAACGCAATATGTTTGCCAAGTAAAAATTCGTTCTGAACACGCATATGACACAACGATACGAAGCTGTTTTATAATCGAGCAAAACATTTTCTAGTTATTGTCACTATTTCGATCTCTTATAACCTTTTATCATTATCTTTCTCTTCGAAGACACTGATGACATTCTGTAGTTAATAGCACTGTATATAAAAGATGATCATGTGTGTATGTACAATTATACAAGTATCTGTACTTAGATTTAAATTATAGACCGTAACCGAATTTAGGAATCAGCGCAGCGAAACCGGATTTGTTTCGCATCGGGATCTACGATTGATATCGATGATCATAATCGTGGATCGATCAATCCAAAATTGCCTAACACCACTTAAAGCATATACGTACATTCAATTTATTGGGAAATGACGATAACTTTTGCTTAATATCTAGTCATTAGATCATTAGTTTGACCTGAATTTGTGTCATTAAAATAATGGACCAATATTTAACAATTTTTTAAATTAAAATTATTTATGAGAATTCTCTTCACTCGAGATTTCGACTTCCAGAATGCATGTTACATGAATGCGCTATTATTCTCTGCAGCTTTTTTTCTATTGCATACTATTTTAAAGAAGCTTTAGATAGAAGCTTTAAATAGAAGATATTATTTAAATATCTCGGAAAATATATTTTAACGTTTCATAATTTTATTATATTTTTTGTATATCATTATGATATATTTTCTAGCGATACAGATTCGGGTCATTTTACGTCTAAATTAAGTAAATTTAAATTAGATTTAACATTAATTTTATGCTAAGCGTGTGAATTTTTGATCAACATTCCCTTAAGTGATATAAGATCGTAATTGCACCATACAACAAATAAAGGATATCTCCTTTACAGAATTCTGTGAGCAATTCACTTTCTTCTTGTGTGTTATTTTATAGCAAATACAATTGATGTATGTAATATTTTCTAATTACTTTTTCTGCATACGTACTGAAAAACTTCATGGCAAATTTCAAACGACAAATCTTATGTACGAGATTGTTATTTAATACCTAATTTTTTTTCTAAGAAAAACAATCATGTATCTAATATGATTTGTAAACTTGTTTTTATTCGTAAACATTTGTAAACAAGACAAAATTGATATTTATTACGTATGTTATGATGTAAACATACAAATGTTTACAAATGTGTAACATACTCTTCAAAATATAAAGTTGAATTTTAATTCTACAAAGATTGCACCGAAAATGATGATTATCGATCGTTACTATAAATAACAATAGCAACGAGCACATGAACTGTCTAGCTTGAACCTTAACATTGTTGTATCGAAGATGAATATTGAAGATGAATTTTAAAACAAAAAGCTGAAACAAACTTTCATCGCTCTAAAGTATCTTTAACTATAGCTAGAATCTTGGTAAAATATATCTAGCTAGAGATCTAGCTAGAAATTTCGCAGGAGACTAAAGAGATATTCAATGTATGTCTTTTCTGCTTGTAATTTCTTAGATTGTTGCAAATCAGCAATCATAACTTTCGGTACAATCTTCGTGTGAAATATAACAAACTTTATATTAAATTGATATTTTGTTCTCTGATATCGTCATATTTTATATAGTAATTATAATGTTCTCATATTATTAACACATTGTTTTTATGTTTACATGTCTTTTCACAGAAAATCAATGCTGCAAGGAGTATTTAATAAACGAATAAGTTATTGTTTGATTAGTTACTCTGATGATAT